CTATCTTAGATTTGAAAGTTATTGTTCATAGATTCAAATGTGTTTATGAATTCAAATCGTTATGTTAAAGCATATCTGGTGCTTATCCAAATTATGTTGCATCATGAAATGAACTTAAAATATGATAGTATGTGTTATGAAATAATCCTAAATCTCTAATTCACACAATCAAGAAGCAAGAAAGACAACATGTAACGTCCAACATGGAGGTACATGATTTAAATTATATTTTATAGCCCTTAGTTAATTTTTGTTAGAATTATTTTAAGAGAATATGAAGAAAATGCCTTAAACTTGTATTAAGGGTAAAATAGTGTTTTCACTCAAAATTACTTAAAATTGTGGGGAGTGAAAAGAGCTAGAATTTCATAGAGAATATAATACAACACGAATTTACCGTGGTTCACCTATCCAAGATTGGATAGACTACATCCACGTTGAGCTCTAAAATCAGAGGAGCTCGCTGCACTAATCAATTAGAACAAGAGTTTACAACCACAGATCTGAAGATCTATCACTTGAATACAACCAAATCCCACCCATAACCCAACCTAGAGAAATTCTCCCTAGAATCCCTAAGAACTTGAGAGAAAAACCCCTCTCATAGAATGACTAACCCACTAATCACTCAACCTCAACCAGTTACACAGATTCGATTGCAAGAATGTAAACCCTAACAGAGAATATTGCTCAATGAACACGAAGAATACTTTTCTTCTTAAATTTGCGACTTTTAAATACCATTGACTAGATGTTGAACCACAATCGTTGGATCTGAATTGGATCAAAGGTCAAGATTCACTCCAACAGTCCACTGAAACAACATCGCACAACTTAAAGGCACAATGACATCGTTTCAAGCCTTCATTTCAACAATCTCCACCTTAAAGACCTAAAACAGCCATCCTACCAAAACTTAACTAGTGCAGCTCACTCACATCAAATTCCCTCATGGCTCTAATACTCCAACCTAAGTTACAAACAACAAGTTCAAGTAGTGTTTGAACTTGGCAGTAGTAACTACCTTAGTACCCATATCTACTAGGTTGTCTTTTGTAGCAATTTTCTTCAAGTCAGTCACACTAGATGAAACCAATTTAACAAAGTGAAATCGTACATCCACCTGCTTGGTTCTACTATGGTAGACTGGGTTGTTTACTAAAATTGATTGCACTCTGGTTGTCTGAGTAAATAGTCACCTTCCTATCTATTAGAATTGCCTCTGACATAATTCCTTTTAACCACAATGCCTCCTTAAACACGTCCGCAACTACTACATACTCCGCTTCAGTCGATGAGAGAGTCACAATAGGTTGCAGCTGAGACTTCCAACTTATGTAGTTGCCTACAAGAGTAAAGTAGTAGGAGATGGTTGATTTCCTTGTGTCTCTATCACCTACAAAGTCAGAATCTACAAAAACCAACCAGATCAAGTGAAACACTCCTTTTACAGTATTCTAATCCAACACAAAGGGTACTGTTAATGTATTTTATCATCCATTTCAAAGCAGACCAATGTTTAGCCCCTGGATTAGACATAAATCTACTTAACATGGATATAGCAAAGGATAAATCAAGCTTAGTACTTATCATTGCATACATGAGAAACCCTATCACATTTGAGCATGGTACATACTCCTTTTTTTTATCATTTCAGACTCAATCTTGAGACATTGGGCTCTACTCAACATAAAGTGGCTGGCTGGTGGCATAGAAACCAGCTTTGACCCTGACATCCCAAACTTAGTCACTAGTTTCTACAAATGAGTGCTGATGGATTTTTAATGCATAATTTCTTCTATCTCTATTTATAACCATACCTAAACTCTTCTTAGCATTTTCTAAGTCCTTCATGCTAATTCAGAACTGAGTTTACCCTTTAGTTCAAGTATTTTAGACTTAGACTTACGTACTAATAACATATCATCAACATAAAACGGTAAGTATATAAGCATGTCATCACTCCATGAGAAATAGAAACAACTATCATATTTGCTTCTTGTAAATCCTATGCTCACCACAAACAAGTCAAATCTTTTGTACCATTGCCTAGGGGACTGTTTGATGCCATACAATGATTTGTGTAATAGGCATACATGGTGGGGGGCCGGGTTAAGCAAAATGGCGGGCCAAGCCTAACCCGGCCCCCCACCAACCCGACCCGCCAACCCTAACCTGACGGAATTTTTTTTTTTTTTTTTATCTTTTGTGTAAATTTTTTTAGCTAACTTTTCAAATATCAATAATTCAATTAAATTAATTTTTTTTGTTAACATTTCAAATATTAATTCAATTTTAATACAATTAAATTGTAATATAAGAAAAATTAGATTTATTTATTTATTAAAAAATAAGAAATTACAACAATTATTGCCTCGTTAAAAATCTTACCAAGAAAAACCCAATTGGGACAAAAGCTTGGTAAGAAAAAAAGAGCGCAATAATTGACAATTAATTTACAAATTACAAAGTTACAATTTACAAAACAACTAATTTGGGGGTTGACTAGGACTTCCCTCATCTGTATCATCTATATTACAAAATAGAAATGATTCTATTAAAGTATCGTCAACAACCTCGTATTGATCCTGATGGCACGACCGTTCCCAATCTCGAAGACATGCGAGGACTTCAATCATTTTTTGTGAAAGTTTAGTCCTCATTTCATTTAAAATTCTTCCACTTGCACTAAATGTTTGTTCAGATGAGAAGGTTGAGACAAGAACTGAGAAAACATCCAAGGCAAGTCTTGATAATATCGGAAAAATACATTTTCTGGTTTTCCAATATTCTAAGACATCAATGTTGCCTTTTTGTTGTGGATCTGCTAGTAGCACGTTGGAGGTTCCCAAATATTGGTGAAGCTCATTACTTGTAGCTACATGGAGGATAGTACATTCGTTGTTGATGCTTCTGAAGAGGAGGTTTTGCTTCAGGTTCAGGTCCTCTTCGGCCTATTAAGTGCACTCAAGGAGTCGAAGTTTTCATTTGTTTCTTCTGATGCTACTTTCCCAGATATTTTGCTTCTTTGATGGTTCCCATACCTACTTTCATATTGCAAATATACCTCTGCAAGACACTCTCTTATCTCTCCTAGTTGATTGGCATATGCTCTGTCTCATAAATTTTCACTTAACATGTCTAAACCATTTTCTAAATGCACTAATTTAATTTTAGGATCAAATATGGTAGCTAAACAATAAAGAAAAGGAATGGGTTTCCAATATTTTTTAAATTTTAATTCCATTGCCTCTATTGGTCCCACTAAAATTTCATTGTTTCTGTTTTCTTTAAATAAATCTGAAATTTTTGTAATTGTATGTATTACCAATGGACTAGTAGGATAATACGCACCAAAAAGTTGAAAGGTGGATTGATAAAAAAATTTAAGAATAGAGTGAAATTTTTGAGCTATATGTCAATCACTATCTACCAAATAATGAGGACCCCTATTATTTGCTACAAAATAACTAATTAAATTAGCATAAGGTAAACATGAGTCAAGCATTAAATAAGTACTATTCCATCTAACAGGCATGTCTAATGCAAAAGTTCTAGGAGACATATTTGATTTTATATAAGTATCTTGAAATTCAACATTTCTTCTATTACTACTAGTAATCCAAGCTAAAGAATCTCTACTTCTATCAATATTATTTATAATTTTTTTCATACCACTTTTCACAATTAAATTAATAATGTGACATGCACAGTGTTGGTGAAAATACTTCAAATTGTCATAAAAAGGAAAATTTATTTAAAAACAAATCTATAACTCTACTATTAGCACTTGCATTATCTAAAGTTAAACTTATCACTTTGTGAACAACATCATAATCTTCTAAAACTTTAATAATTTTATTATAAATTTGTTGACCATTATGATCCACATCCATTAATCTAAATCCCAATAAAGATTTATTTAATTTACATTCGTTATCAAAATAATGACTAGTCACACAAATATAATCTTGTTTAGCTCTACCACTCCAAATATCGGCTGTTAGAGCCAACTAACATGATAACTATGTATTTTTTTTTTTTAATTCTAATTTCAGTTTTCCAAACAATTTGCTTAAATCATTTCTAGTTGCAGTTTTACAATAACTTTTAAATTCTAGAAAAATGATTTTTTAATAAATCTTTCAAAATATTTACCTTAAGCCATATTAATAGGTTGATCAGTTTCAACAATATATAAAGCTAATTGTTCCTTATATACATCAGAATTATAACATCAAGTAGTACCCATATTAGTTATTTGAGTTTGATTGGTTTCTCTATTTCCATGTTGAGTAATGTGTTTATTAGCATGCCTTTTTAAAGTACTAGTACCATTACCTGCATCAGCTTTATAAATATTTCCACAATACTTGCATTTTGCTTTCTTCACTTGAACTCCATTCTATGTCTCGTAAAACTTATCAAAATGCACCCAAACGTCTTATGTGTGTCTGTTGTCAGTTTCGACCGTAGTTGATCAACCAAATTTTGCTTGAGATGGAGTTGGACAAGGACGACTTCTAGAACCACCAAGAGCTGTAGCAGCATGGGAAGGAAGGGGGGGAATATTATGAGGTGTATCGGATTCTAAGAATGGGATAGCGAGACTATTTTAATCTACTACACTTACGTTAGTAAATTCAGGGGGACTAGGATAATTTCCTTCATCATCGAAATTGATGGGATCAAAATATCTATCCATTCTAGTTTAAAAAANTTCATTAATGGTACACAATATTTCTTGTCAATATCCAATACTAAGACCTTCTGCGATGTGTAAATCAAATTGGCTACTGGAGATCATAATCTTAAAATTTTGAGTATATACTCCTTTACTTTTAGAATTACATGTGCGGTTCCAGATATCATTAATAGTTTTCTTAATCAATTTGTGTTGTGTACCTTCCCTCTTTTTTTTTTTTTTTTCGCCTTCAAACTACTTGCTTGTGTTGTAGTTGATTTTCTTAATTTGTATATTTAACTTGGAACATCAGGTTGAAGATCTCTCAAATGAGCCCCAGGTAGAACGTGAACTAATGCTTATAAAAGTGAATGCATGTCCAGAGTTCCGCGCTGAGGTAGCTATAGCATATTCATTTGATTGTTGGACATTGAGAGTTTCATGAAAGTTCTATAGTTTGTCTTTGCACTTTATTCTTTTCATTTTATTTGATAAAATAATTATTTATTGGTGTTGATCTTTAGATCATGTGGCTAGTGGACATATTTAGAGCAAAAATTGTGGATATCTCTGAACACTCATTGACAATTGAGGTGATGTACTGTAATTTATGCTCAAATTTCCTGTTCAGTGTTATTGGTTTTCTGAAATAGGAAATTCTCATGTATAATCCAGGTAACTGGAGATCCAGGGAAGATGGTCGCTGTGCAAAGGAATTTAAGCAAGTTTGGAATCCGAGAAATTGCGAGAACCGGAAAGGTAGTAAGCTTCCTTTAAAATACTTTTTGATTTTTGTTTATTGTTCTTTTCCTTACACTGGCATTTTCTTCTAGACAGACCTCATTTTAGGTTTCCAATCTAAAGTGGTAAAGAGATAGGGTGGGGTCATCTTATTAGTTAGAAGATAAAAAAAAGAGATAACTAATTTGTGTTAACTTCTGATCCTGTTTCTTTTAAGTAGATTGCCTTGAGAAGGGAAAAAATTGGCGCTTCTGCTCCTTTCTGGCGATTTTCAGCAGCTTCATATCCTGATCTTGAAGTACCAACATCCGTGAATGGTCTTGCTAGGGCAGGAGATAAATCATATGCTAGTGGAACTGATACACATGCAGGGGTATGCTCTTCTCTAAGATTTCATTCAATATTTCATCCAATCTAGATAAGAGTGTGTGTCCTGAAATCCAATGCTAGTCTACTTTTGATGTATGTACTCCTCTGTACAGATAAGATGAAGAGCTTTTAGTTCTTATTCCTTTTCAGAAATGTCACTGATGTAGGACAGTAATTGGAAAACAAAGAGAGAGGAATGAGAAAGGAAAGAGAGAAGTCCGAATAGAAAGGGGTTGTGTGGGTTATGAATGTTTAGTCAATTACCAGTAGAGACCTAGAAAATGACGATTCTAGTCATCTATCTACTTGATGGCACATGTCTACCTTGTCAATTATGTGATACTTATCTTGGGCAGCGTTTCCCCTTATTAATGCCTTTACTACATTGGTATTGAAATTTTGAGTTTTCTGTTTTCTATATTGTTTTAAATGAGACCAAAGGCTGGGTAATTTTATTCTGTTTTCAACTTTGAAGCTATCTTTAGTCTGTTTTACTGCATCTGTTTAATTTTCTAGCCTTATATATTGTTACATTGGCTGTGGGTTGAGTATTTGATATGTTTTTTGTGTGTTCTTGAAGGGAGATGTGTATCCAGTGGAGTCAGATGATGTCTTTCCAGTCAATCAAGTGCTTGATGCTCACTGGGGTGTCCTTAATGATGAAGATGTAAGAAAAGTCTTCCCCTGCATAAACTTCATCAATTTTTTCCCTTTTATCATTTTATGTTTTCTTTCTTTCACCTCCGCTCTGGCTTCTATTAAGGGTTCATGGTTGTTACGAATGTACAAGAAACCCACATTAGACCTTTTGAGCATGGTCCAATGTTAGTAAAGCTTGGTTGCATCAACCCTGATTGTTTATCTCTTGAACTTGGGGCAAATTTTGTTACTAATCTGCATGACCATGTTTTGATTCATGAAGATATTATTTCTCACCTTCCCCTCCCGGCCAAGTGATGGAAAAGATCCTATTTTTAATTTTACTTTTTGTGATGGACCTTGACTTTTAAGGATGTTAAAGTTTCATTCCGATGATGATTTGCAATTTCCATCCAGAGAAGTGTGAATGTTTCCAGTGGATAGCAGTTATGAAACTAATTTGAAAGTTCTTGATCTAAAATATCAATTTGCATTATTAATCATGTCAAGGAAGAGAAGTGTCAATCATGTCAAGGAAGAGAAGTATCTGTTGGAGCCTTAAGGGAATATACTTCTGAGTTAAAGGATAATTGGGATATGGATATGAAAGTGAAGAGCTGGTAGCCTGATTATGTCCTCTGATTAATGCTTGGTTAATGTTGTGCAGACAAGCGGACTCCGATCACATACTCTTTCACTGATTGTAAATGATTCTCCGGGAGTTCTTAACATTGTTACAGGGGTTTTTGCTCGAAGGGGCTATAACATTCAGGTAAATATGATGTTATTGTTGCTCTCTCACTTTGTTTGTTTACATTTCAAGTTTCACTCATCTGCTCGATCGTCTTTTTGTCATCAGAGTTTGGCAGTTGGACATGCAGAAACAGAGGGGCTTTCACGAATTACAACTGTTGTTCCTGGTACAGATGAATCAATTAGCAAGTTGGTGCAGCAACTTTATAAGCTAATAGAGATACATGAGGTGAGACTACTGTTAGAAAGGATGCATCTTATTTTATCAAAAGAAGCATTTATGGTTTAGTATCATCTCATCAGTTGCCTTAGATATTTTGATCGCTTGTAACTGTGGATAATGGACGAGTAATCCAATGAGAAAAAACACTGAAAATTTAATGGCTATAATTGTTCTCTTCTATGTACAAAATCAATGTTATCATTAATAGAATATAGAGATTGAAGGTCACTGGGATACGCGTCAAGATAGGAGATAGCGCAGCTCTTCAAATTTAGGGTTGGCTGTTTAATGCAAATGATTAGAAGCCTCTGGCATACTGTCCAATTTTACAGAGTTTATTTGACCGAACCTTAGATGTATTTTTTTGTGTATGCATATACGTATAGACTTATATATTTGTTTCTAAAATCAAAATATTTGGACAGGTTGTTAGATCTCTTGTTAATGAGGTTAAGATTGAAGTGTCTGAGTTTATTAATTTCAAGTATTGGTAACTTATTCAGGTTAGAGATCTTACTCATTTGCCATTTGCTGAACGAGAATTGACGATGATAAAGATTGCTGTAAACGCCTCTGCCCGACGAGATGTCCTTGACATTGCCAGCATCTTTAGAGCCAAAGCTGTTGACGTGTCTGATCATACAATTACTCTTGAGGTAGGTTTTCTTTCTTTAGATATGGATTTCCATTTAGGCATTATCATGTTATTACTTATCTCTCTTCATCTAATGTTATGACTTTTGACGGATAACTAATATTTTATATGTGCAATGTATGAGAAAAAAATGACCCCTAAATGTGGTTTTTAATTGGAAATTTTCTTGTCTTCTCTTGTTTGCATGCAAATTGTCATGTTTATGGCAGGCGACACTGCTTTATGAACTTCAGACATATTTTTACTCTTCATTTTATTCCTAGTTCCTATCCTGTCTCTCAGTACTGATAAATCTGCTTTTCAATGCTCATTCCAGCTCACTGGAGATTTGGACAAGATGGTTGCACTCCAGAGATTGTTAGAGCCTTATGGCATTTGTGAGGTTTGTCTTGCAGATTTTTAGATCATTAGTTGGTTTAACACACCAAATAACATGATTAGATGCATGAGTGTTTCGCTTCTTCAATATCTCTTATCTCGTTTTTTCACAACCGAAAAGGAAACTGGGTTAATTGAACTCAATTTCTTTGCCATAGTTTTGTGACTTGTAGCATAATGCCTCTTTCACTCTGGTAACAAGGTGATCATGTTTTTGTAGGTGGCACGAACAGGGCGGATAGCATTGATACGTGAATCAGGCGTGGATTCCAGGTATCTCCGCGGATATTCTTTTCCTCTATAATTTGGGGACGAGAAAAATTCAATTTGTTTAATATGTCAATAGGTGTGCTGAAATTTTGTAAGATTCTCATAGATTGTTTAGTTTGTGATTTTTCTTGGGGTTTTAATTGCTCTTATATTTCAACTCAACAGTTTGAATTTTGAAATTAGTGTATCATCCAAATTAGTTGGTAATAGTAAATAATGAAACATATTTTTGCTTGTGCTACATATTACTGTTTTCCGTGTTAGACAATGCTAGTTTTGTGTAAATAACATTGTTTATCATGTTAAATGGTGATTTAGATGGGTTTAATGATAGGTATTTTAATGTGAGTATCGACGTCAATTATTTTCGTAGCAGAATTTCAAAGACAGAGGCTTATATATATTCATTTTTATGAGAAAAAAATTGGTAAAAGCAGGAAACAATACCATTTAAAGGCAATTTTATTGATTAGAGATAAGCTATTCTAAATTTCCTATTGTCTAGCTCTACACAACTCTTAAAGAAACATAAACCATGACCAAGACATCGGAAATTGTAACAGGCTGACTGAATTAGAGGATCCAATGTTCCTCACAATACATGAAAACTGTGCATCTACGCTGGGTACTAATCATGTCTATCACTCACGAGCTACAACCACCACTTGTTTTCCGACATTCTGGCCAGTGAAGAGTCCGACCAGAGCAGCTGGAGCTTTCTCGAGACCTTCAACTATGTCTTCTACATATACAATTTTCCCTTCTTTTATGGCTGGTAAAACCAGTTCCAGAAGTTTCGGATAAAGGTCATAGTGATCACTGGCGATAAACCCTTCCATCCGAATCCGTTTTCCAACAACCTGCATCAAGTTGTGTACACCTTCCGGCTGCTCAAGATTGTACTGCGAGATCATTCCGCACATTGCAATGCGTCCACGGAGCTTCATGTTGAGTAGCACTGCATCCAGCATTTTTCCCCCAACATTTTCAAAGTATATGTCAATGCCTTCAGGAAAGTACCTGGCAAACCAAAACAGTATGACTCCAACATCTCGAATATAACAAATCACAGTGAATCATCTTGAACAGTTGAACATGAACATCCTTCTGAACAACATTCAAAAACAACGGAATTACACTTTTAACCTTCGGAAACTAACATCAAGGTAACAGGATCAGAGTTTACAGTAGTTTTTGATGATTTCTTAAAACATTGAAGGTAGCATTCGGTAAAGATTGTATAATTACTCTTATCTGCTTGATAATTTTGACGACACTGGGATACTTAGTGATATTTTTCCCCAAAATATTTTGAAATTGTGGAACTTTCAGAGCAGAAACTGTGAGAAGTTCATCCTGTTTTCTGATAACAGAACACATTAGACCTTCAAGCAAAGGATTAAAACAATGAACTGACCTTTTCAGAGCTGCATCCAAGTCTGGTTCTTCCTTATAGTTAAAAGCTTCATCAAATCCAAACTTTTTCTTTAAGAGATCAACCTTACAAAATGATAAAACGAAAAAACATCATCAAACCAAGAAAAATTGCAAAACAATTATAGTATCATCATAAGCAGAAACCTGTATCTAACATTCAACTACGTCATAAGAAAGAATTAGTCCTTTCAGAACTGATTATCTAATATCTATGCTCGGTAGAGCATCAGAATTGCATCGAGACAACTTCTTCTGCAAGTAACTCACCTTTTCTTTGCTTCCAGCACTTCCAACAACATAGCAACCTGCCAATTTTGCCAACTGCCCAACAAGCTGGCCAACTGCCCCAGAAGCTGCAGATACAAACACAGACTCGCCTTTCTTTGGGGAGCAAACCTCGTGAAAACCAACATATGCAGTTATACCAGGCATACCTAGAAATCGACACGAAAATTCTCAATAATCAGATAAACATCGACCATCTCGCGAATGAAATGATCAAAAAAGGCTTATTAAATATCATAGGCGTTATGCAAAATTATGAAGTATGAATTATTCAATTCCAAAATGAAATTTAGTAACAACTTACCAAGAATCCCTGTGTAATATGAAAGGGGAACATCTGTGTGCTCAATTTTTATCAGAAGTAGTGGTGAAGCAATGAGACTATACTCTTCCCACCCTGTATAGCCCCAGGCCAAATCGCCTTTCTTATAGTTAGGATGTGTAGAATCCAAAACTTTAGCCACTCCATATCCATTTAAAGGCTGCATTACATCAGAAAGTCACCAAATTTAGCATACCATTCAACTCAAGCAAATAAGACCAACCACATCTCTGTCTTTTCATCTGGGCGTTTCTATTTTCTCCCGGAAAAGTCTAGTATACCACCGGAGTATCATGTCACCCAAAACTTCTGTTATCACGACTTCGAAAATAAATCAAAACCAATTTCCGTTCATTCCTCATTGAAATTCTTTAAGGTGTGAAATAATAAATAAGTAAACTCTACTAACGATCTAAATTGAATCCCATGTCACCAAAGATTGGTTTCAAATGTGGGTTAATAACCATGTGGACACCCTCCCTGCTCGGATTTAAGGGTGATTTCTATAGTCATTACGATTTGTATCTGAGTAAGATCACCCACCTGGGACGGTCCTCATCCTTCATCGTGGATGGGACAAACCGGTTTTAAGGGTGAGTTCTACTATTCGATGGTTGTTACACACGGGATTGCAAATTATAAAACAAAGAATTTGATTTTGAAAACATTTCAACCAATTCTGTAAAACACATTAATAAAAGGCAATGCGAAAATCCATCAAGATCATGAAGAAAACTCAAAAACAAGAGAATAAAAAACTAACCGAACCAGGCTCAAAAGAAGTGACAAAATAAGGTCTATCAAGCTTGCTCATTCGTCCTCTCATGTAAGGATCACAAGAGAGATAAAGATTCTTCAACAAAACTGTGTCCTTTGATCCCTCTGGCACCTTCAGTTTCATTGTCTTAGTGACCACGGACATGTCTGAGTCCTTCGGAAAACCTGTCACATAGTGCTTCAGAATAACCTGCTTGTTGCTGACCTCATCGGAACCCGCCATTGTTGGTTGGAATGTGGAAGTGATCAGGGGATAAAGTGAAAGAAAACAAAGTATCTGGAATTAGAGAAAATGAGAATTTATAGAATGAAAGATGGATCAAGTAGACAACACTTGTTACGTGAAGCCTCTTAAAAAGCTGCTAGTGTTTGAAAATGAACAGAGGAGGTTTTTTTTTTCTTTTTTTAAATTCTTTTAAAAAATAAAAACCAAAATAATATATATTTTTAAAATTTATTAATATAATATATATTTTATGATTAGTTGATTATATGTAAATCCAATTAATCAAAATTATATATATATAGTGATTTATGGACATAATTTTTTTCCTAAAAAATGAAGGGTTAATTTCATATACATGAAGCGTTTAATTTGAAAATACATTCACATTTTAACAATAATAAAAAGAACAAAATAAACGTGATTATGGTTTTTTTAATAATTTTTAAAGGTTTTTTATGGTTTCTAAAAATTCAAAATAAATTAAATCTAAAATATACATCGAATGTTATTATTTTTATGATTATTTTAAATATAAAGAATTTTATTGGGTGTCAATTGTAAATATTTATTTTATATTGGGGTAAAAGTAATTATTTGATTTTTAGTTAATGAGAATCAATTGAAACGTGTGGATGATCTACAGCCTCATGTGAAAGTCTGATCATGATTGGAAAGCTATTTGATGAATGACACGTGTAAATAAAAGTGCGTAGAAGGATCGAGATATTGTGAACAAAGGCACCTAATTACTTATCCAAGAAAGAAATGAATTGAATGAATAAAATGGGCACCAAAAAATGGCTGTCTTTTTTTGTTATTCTCAAAGTTTCCATGTTGAGACATTACATATATTTATTTATTTATTATGAAATTAAATCTTCTGAGATATGATAAAATAACAATATTTTTTTTTAAATTTAGATTTAAATAATAATACAAATTTCTACCTCTAATGTTCAATAAAATAACAAAAATATAACAAAAATCCTCTTATCGTTAATAAACTATTAATGACCTGTTAAAATTTATACCATTAAAAGTTCATTAATATTATCAAATTGTCTTTATACCGTTTATTTTAACATTTAAAACTTAATGATATGAGGATTTTTGTTATTTTGTAATACCTCAAGGGGATTAAGATATTAACCTTAAAATAAATAGTAAAAAAATAATTTGATAATATATAACATTGTAAATTTTAAGGACCCGTTAATAATATATTAACACTCAGGAGATGTTTGTTATATAAAAAACGTCACGAGATCTTATTTATATCATACTTAAAGGGGTATGTATTTTTAACTTTATATTTTCACAAGACAGAGAATTTACGAGAAAGGAGAAATAAAAACTCGATTAACAATTCAAATTGTTCATTTTCAAAAAAACAAAAAACGAATACACTAAATTCATTAAAAAAAAAACACACCCAAAATTAATACAAATTTGAGATTTTTAATTAATTTTATCATGAATAATTCTATTATATGTTTAAGTGATTTCATTCGCGATTGACAACAACCACTTGTTCACCGACATTTTTGTCGATTAAGAGCCCAACGAGAGCTGTAGGAGCATTCTCGAGGCCTTCAACGATGTCTTCGAGATGCACAATTTTCCCTTCTTTGATTTGAGGAATGATCATTTCCAGAAACTTGGAATAGAGATGGTGGTAGTCACGAACCCGGAAACCTTCCATCCGAATTCTTTTCCCTATTAGTTGCATCAAGTTGTGTATTCCTTCAGGATTGTTAAGGTTTTACTGTGAGATCATTCCACAAACAGCAATTCGACCATGGATTCTCATGTTGACTAGCACTGCATCAAGCATTCCCCCCCTCCCACCATTTTCAAAGTATATGTCAATGCCTTCAGGAAAGTACCTGTCAAAATTTCAACTGCAAACTCAAAACAATCGAAAAGGAACCTAGTCGTCAAGCTTTTGGTATCCAGAACTGATAATTACAACGATCAAATTGATCATCTTCATGCATAAAGATACTACTAAAAGAAGTTCCAAAGCAACGAAAGCCTTGAGGTCTCTTGTGAAACAAGGCATGGAGTTCATCTTTTGCTACAAACCTTTTCAAAGCTACATCGAAATCAGGTTCTTCTTTATAGTTGAAGGCTTCATCAAACCCTAACTTGTTCTTCAGCAGATCAACTTTGTCATTGCTGCCAGCACTTCCGACAACATAGCAACCCATCAACTTTGCAAACTGCCCAACAAGCTGACCAACTGCACCAGAAGCTGCTGAGATAAACACAAACTCTCCTACCTTGGGTGAACAAACCTCGTAAAATCCAAAGTACGCAGTCATACCAGGCATGCCTGTGATTCACAAGACAAGAACAAGTTCTTCACAAGAATCCTATTTGAGCCTTCGGGTAGCTTTAACTCTATCGCACCAGTGGTGACATGCATGTCAGATTCTTTCGGAAAACCTTAGACATAGCTCTTCAATATCACCTGCTTATTGCTCACCATTATTTCAGTCAATTTCTCTATGAAAAACATAGATGAACTTTGTTAGGATCTCACGTTGAAAGGGAAAATGGTGGGCATGTGGGTTATAAAGGCTTGGGCACCCTCCCCTGGCAAACTAGTTTTCCAAGGAGAGTTATACCCAAGCCCATGAAAGACCCTTGGCCCAATCCAAATTGTTGAGTTATTGGAGTGGATTCCTATCAATTAGTATCAGAGCAGATTATTTGGGTAATGTTTGCAACGAGAATGGAGTCAAGATTAGAAAACGTGGAAAGAGAGGTGGTGAAATTAGGAGTTGACATGGGAATTATTCGTGAGTGCATGGTTGAAATACAAACATGAAGGAGGAGAAGAGACGAAGAAAAAGCTGGACGAAGAGAACATAATTCGTCACCAAAACGGAGCTGGTGGATCGGGTAATCATGAACGGGAGGACCAAAACGGAGCTAGTGGATTGGGTAGATTTGGGTAGTATCAGAGTGAGGTGGGAGGATGTAGACTGGAGTTACCCATTTTCTCTGGCGAAGATCCTTACGATTGGATTTTCAGAGTTGAACGATATTTCAGTCTTAATGGGATTTCTGACAAAGGGAAGATGACGACGATAGCAGTTCGTATAGAGGGAGACGCCATTAATTGGTATCAGAGCATGATCTTGTGCACACGTGGCAGGCTGACCTAAGGCCTACGCTGTTACCCCAAGGAAAGGGGATCCAAAGTCACCCAAGGGATAAAGAGGCCGACGTGGAGCCCACGCAACAAGACCCAGTGGGCCCCCCGAGGGTTCGAGAAGGAGAGTTGTTGACAAGCTTCTAGGTGAAGTAAAACCCAAAGGGAGGGCAGTAAAGGCTGATGAGGGCGAGGTAGCTGATAAGGGCGGACGCTCTTTGGAAAGAAGACCAACGAGGGTGTTGGGTCTCGAAGCGAGTTTGGGCCCGCGCTACTACCCCAAGGAAAGGGGATCCGAAGTCACCCAAGCGGTAAAGAGGCCGACATGGAGCCCACGCAACAAGGCCTAATAGGCCCCCCGAGGGGTCTGGAAGGAGAGTTGTTGACAGACTTCTCGGTGAAGTAAGACCCAAAGGGAGGGTAGTAAAGGTCGATGAGGGCGGGGTAGCTAATAAGGGCGGGCGCTCTTTGGAAAGAAGACCAACGAGGGTGTTGGGTCTCGAAGCGTGGGGGAATGTTAGGATCCCACATTAAAAGGGAAAAGAGTGGGCATGTGGGTTATAAAGGTTTGGACACCCTCCCTTAGCAAACCGGTTTTCCAAGGAGAGTTTTACCCAAATCCATGACCCAACCCAAATTGTTGAGTTATTGGAGTTGGTTCCTATCAAACTCTAGCGAAGATGCATATATATATACAAATGTTTTTGTTTTGTGGTGTTGTTTGTGCATGGGATGAAACCAATGAGGAATGTAGAAGATGTTAAAAATTTATCAAACTTATCAAACTTATCAATAAATATTGGTAGGATGTAATCGTTTTTTGCCGGCCCTCTTACATTATCGGACTAGTTACACAAGGAGAAACAATTTATGTGAACATCACCAGAACTATTTGAATCACACAAGTACCTTTAGCTTAGCCAATGGCATTCCGAAAACCTGTAACTTTAAACTAGCTAAATTCATTTGCGAGTGACAGCAACCACTTGTTTGCCAACATTATGACCTTTAAAGAGCCCAACAAGAGCTGTATGAGCATTCTCAAGGCCGTCGGCGATGTCTTCCACATACACAATCTTCCCTTCTTTAATATGAGGAATAATCATTTCCAGAAACTTCGGATAGAGGTGGTAGTAATCAAGAACCAGGAATCCTTCCATACGAATGCGCTTCACTATAAGTTGTATCAAGTTGTGTATTCCTTCGGGCTTCTCAAGGTTGTACTGTGAGATCATTCCACATATAGAAATTCGACCATGGACTCTCATGTTGAGTAGCACTGCGTCAAGCATCTCTCCCCCGACATTCTCAAAATATATATCAATGCCTTCAGGAAAGTACCTGTCAAAATTTCAACTACAGACTCAAAACAATTATCATAATTTGCCGAGCTTCTGTTTCATATATTCACTGAATTGTAAAGCAGGGCCTGCAGCCCTACCAGAGGTAATGAAAAATCAAGTCAAAGCTTCAATAGCAGCATGTTGCTACTGAACTTCAAAAGCTGCATCCATCAATGTCTAAAAAAATATTGCTACCAACCTTTTCAAAGCTACATTCAAATCCGGTTCGTCTTTATAGTTGAAGGCTTCATCAAACCCCAACTTGTTCTTCAGCAGATCAACTTTGTCTTTGCTTCCAGCACTTCCAACGACGTAGCAACCCAACAACTTTGCAAACTGCCCAACAATCTGACCAACTGCACCAGAAGCTGCTGAAATGAACACAAACTCTCCTTGCTTGGGCGAACAAAGCTCATAAAACCCGACATATGCAGTCATACCGGGCATACCTATCAAGTATAGATTATGATATATTGGATCATACAAGATCATAAATCCGATTAAACAAAGCGAAATAAGAAAAACATATATAGCTTACCAAGAATTCCAATATAGTAGGAAAGGGGCATATCTATGTTTTGAATTTTAAACAAATGTGGAGCCGTAATCAGACTGTACTCTTCCCACCCTGTCCTTCCCCAAACCAAGTCTCCCTTCTTGAACTCTGGATTCCCAGAATCCAAAACTTCAGAAACTCCATATCCACTTATAGGCTGCAAAAGTCCTTATAGGATACAAATCAATAGGAAAGCACACTATTTTCCGACAAAAGACTCAGTCATTGATTGTATGGAAAAAATCTGATTGCATCTGATGTTTCAAGATTCTTGACGACGAAGAATCTTCTTTAAAACTAAGGAAATCCAAAGAATAAAACATCAAAAGAAGAGTATGTGTTTGAGTCACTAACCAAACCTGGTGTGAAGGAATTCACGTAGGATCCTTCCAATTTCTTCATTCTTGGTCTCATGGATGGATCACAAGACAAGTATAAGTTCTTCACAAGAATCCCATTTGAGCCCTCTGGTAGTTTTAACTCTATGTCACAAGTGGTCACATACAGGTCAGTTTCTTTTGGAAAACCAGCTGAGATATAGTTCCTCAATATCACCTGCTTATTACTCACCATTATTTCAGACAATTTTCTTTACTCACTCTCTATGAAAAACATAGAGAAACTCTGACAAAGATTTATAAGTAGAGGTTCTTGTTTTGTGTAGTTGTGTGTGCATGAGATAAAACCAATGAAAATTTAGATGTTAATGACTTACCAAACTCTTTTGTTTTGTTGTTTGTAGATTTAATCTTTTTGCCGGCCGTCTCCCACCTCAAGAAGAGATTGATATTCAAGCATGATATAAATAGTTCAAACTTTAATAATTCTTTATGAAAAAGAGATCTAACCAATTAAACTATCGTATCGGAACTAGCTAAATCAACATGAGCTTGAGACTCTAGCTGGTATATTATATTCTTTTTCTGTAATGAAGTGTAACAAAGTGTAAACAACATTAACAAAGAGAAACAGCTCATGTAAACATCAACAGAACTATTTTAGTTACATAATTTAGTAGCTATATAGTATAGCATTCCAGGAAATTGTAACTTTTAGCAGTAACAACATGTAAACAAAGTAGATAATTCACTCATGAGCAACTGCAACCACTTGTTTGCCAACATTATGACCTGTAAAGAGCCCAACCAGAGCAGCTGGTGCACGCTCAAGGCCTTCAGCAGTGTCTTCTACGTATACAATCTTTCCTTCTTTGATGTGAGGAATAATTATTTCCAGAAACTTCGGATAGAGGTGGTAGTAATCAAGAACCAGGAATCCTTCCATACGAATACGTTTTGAAATCAGATTCATCAAGTTGTGTACCCCTTCAGGCTTGTCAAGGTTGTACTGCGATATCATTCCACACACAGCAATTCGACCATGGACTTTCATGTTGAGAAGCACTGCATCAAGCATCTTTCCCCCAACATTTTCAAAGTACATATCGATGCCTTCTGGAAAGTACCTGCCGAATAGTACAGAATAATTGGTACCGGATTTTAACATCAGGAAAATTCACTGAGCTTATGATTTACATGTTCCCCTGTTCCTAAAACAGGACATAGAGCATTTAAACGCAATGGATCTAAAATCAAGTGCACTTAAGGCGATGTTCTCTGTGGAACACCACCCACAAATATCAGAATTTGTTAAGGGCTTCAAGGACAACATATTCATATTCAGCTCTTAAAGCTGCATCCCCGATGAACTACTCTATCTTCAACATATTGATTTCATCAAGTAGTGCTGCTACTGACCTTTTCAAAGCTGCATCGAGATCTGGCTCTTCTTTATAGTTGAAGGCCTCATCGAACCCAAATTTATTCTTTAGCAGATCAACCTTATTGTTCAAGTAATATGCGAGTCGGTGAGCTACTTTTTTGAACATAAGAGTTTGAAAGCACTATAGTGATAATCTAGCACGGTTTTGAGATTTTTACCTTGTCTTTGGTCCCAGCACTTCCAACAACATAGCAACCGAGCAACTTTGCAAACTGCCCAACTAGCTGACCAACAGCGCCTGATGCTGCTGAAATGAATATATTCTCTCCTTTCTTGGGAGAGCATAGCTCATAAAATCCAGCATAGGCAGTCATACCAGGCATACCTATCAAGTATGAATTAACAAAAAATCAGATGAACTTAGGCCATCTCCAGGACCAAACCAAAAGCAAGAAAATCGCTTACAAGTTCTCTCAAAACACAAATAGTACTACTAAAAACTTTTTCTCAATTTCTTCTTTTGACAAATCTTGACAGTACTAAGAGTTTTCACACCATATCATCATAAGAAAGTGAGCAACCGGTGCTTTTCTCACTTCACAAAGAAAAACTTATCAATTTGGTTACTCTGTAACAACTACCCCGCGGAAATTGAATCCATAAATTTTGTCAAAACTATATTTCAAAGGGCAAAAAGGTGTTACTGGATTTGTCAGTTTGTTCTAGGAGACTTGAATAGCTAGCAACTCAAATTTACAACAAAAGCATTCACAAATATTGCAGCCACAGAAGTAAATTACTTATCCAGATCAATATATATGTTCTTTAATTGTCACAGTACAAGGCCTAAGTGAGTCCAATTAACTGATACATTTAATCATAACAAAGAAAATTAACAAGAAAAACAATTAGTTACTCACCAAGAATTCCAGTGTAATAGGAAAGAGGCACATCTGTGTGTTGAATTTTGAACAAATTTGGAGCTGTAATCAGACTGTACTCTTCCCAACCTGTCATCCCCCAAACCAAGTCTCCTTTCTTGAAGTTTGGATGCTCAGAATCCAGAACCTCAGCCACTCCATATCCACTCAAAGGCTGCATGCATATTCAACATGATCCTCCAAAAAGTTGAAGACATAAAAATAAAAATAAAAAGAAGTTTCAAATGTGTGAGTATGAATAACTTACCATGCCAATTTTGAAGGGCTCAACATAATGCCCTTCAATTTTCTTCATTCTTGGTCTCATGTAAGGATCACAAGACAAGTAGAGGTTCTTTAAAAGAACCCCATTTGAGCCTTTTGGAACCTCTAACGCAATGTTGGTATTGGTGATATGCATGTCAGTTTCTTTTGGAAGACCTGAGACATAGTTCTTCAAAATCACCTGCTTATTTCTCACTATTTCAGCCATTTTTTGTCAGAAGAAAGAAGTCTAGCAAGAAATATATATAGAGAGAAAGAGAGGGATGTGAGTGTTGTGTTGTGTTTATGTGGGGATGGAGTTAAAGCTGTTGAGAAGTGGGAACCATGTAAAAAACGTTGCCGATATTGCAAAGGCAAAGAGGTAAAGAGAGCTTTACTACAAACGCACTTACGTTAGCCTTTAAGGAATGGTGGCTATGCACATTTATGTTCACATTTATTTCTAAGTGTGAAGTCAAACATTCACATAACCTATAAGCATTCTAGAAAGAATCTAGAACGGCACAATTTGTTGCATCATTCTTATGGTGAGTAAATGACTTTTTTTTCCATCCAAAGTTTACTTAATGACAATTTTCTAACCCAAAAAGTTTTAAAATATAATTTTAATACCCAAAGTTTATATTTCACTACTATTCAAAATACACTTCTCTTAGGGTTTGCGATTCAACAGCAAATGGAAAGCAAATTCAGCCCAGACTGTGTCCAAATTGTCACCACCAAAAGATTCACCGACCTCTCATCTTCAAAAGCCTTATTTAAGAAAGAATAATTAATTAATTAAACAAATAAAATCTTATTTTAAGGAAGAATAATTAATATTACTTCTACAAAATATAAGAGGAAAATAAAGAGAAATATCTAGATTAGTTTCCTAAAATTAAAATAAATATTTGAAGGAAAACAAATCAAAGTAACCAAGAAAAGATATAAAATCTTATTTACAAAGAAATAATAAACTACCAATACAAAATCCTAACAAATTAACAAGATATGATGTAATTGAGGGAGTGAAATATGTAGGAAATTAACTAAAAGCGAGTTTAATGGATCAAATGTAACCAAATTAATTAATATAGGAGACACGGGCTTAGTTGCTTATATAGTACAAGGACACTCTCACCACTTAGAGGTGCTTTTTTAGGACAAAATCGTGTAGGTCTAATGGTCTAAAACAAATAATATCTTCGGAAACCTACCTATCATATGTCATTGGTCTCAAAGTGGACAATACCTTTAAATATCCACTTACCATATATCTGGATCCGACATATATCACTGTGATAAAATTTCAAATACCATCCGGGGTTGAGATTAATTGGCTATCAAATTTTAGTAGAACACATTTTTGTCCCCGGAAATAATAAGATTTCACTTGCAAAACAAACGAAAGGTCGAGTTTGCAATAAGACAAAAGAAGCAGAAAGCCCTAGCTATAAATTTGGTTTTCTCTTGTCCACTAGTCTAATAAAAAATATTAAAATAATTTAAATCGATGAATTTGATTGCTACCTTTGTAGTTTACTCCTCCAAATTCCTGCAAATTCATTGCCTTGTATGTGTAAAACATGGCTTAGGAAATTGCATTTAAGATCGGGCGATATCCACGGAGTATGCACAACTCCTCCTAGAACGATATTCAACATATAAGAACAAATTTACACATAAAACAGGTGTAGTACAATGAGACAAAAAGATCTTATTTCTAAAGAGATTCGATTCGAATCTATTACATGTCCAAGTCAAATATTGAAATACTCTTAGAGGTTTCCTTTGACTTTGTCCGTGTCTATAAATAATTCGAAATGTCTCGATTTTTTTAGAACAAGTTCGGATCAAATAACAATGATTCAAAACACTTCTTTTTACACTATTTCTTAAACCCAAGGACTCATATATGATTATATTTTCTCTTTTATTTACATATTAATTCATCGTTTTTCATGATATGGATTACATGATATCTTTGCATCTTGGTTTGATCCCCCTATTAGGTTGCTTATACTTTAAAGTATCATAAAACACAGCTTCAATGATGTTCTATTTATTTCTTTCCTTGTACCAGCAAGGCTTACTGCAATAAGGCTTTCTCGCTCTCTCTAGACACTCAATATATAATCACACAATGAGAGAGAGGTCTATATACAATAAAACCTTTATATATGAATAAACTATACGTAGTCATAAAAAATTATATTCTCAATTTGAGATAGTTATAAATAAAAATAAATCCACATAGTAGTAAGTTATAATATTTTTAATTCCCGTCTTAAGGAAAGTTGCCTCTACATAGTAATATATTGCAAAAATATATATGGTATATTACATTAAAAGTTTAAGATGAAACAAAATATTTATCTTAAATTGTTTGGGACAATAATTTATGTTCTAGAGTTGTTACCACATCTTTTCATTTGCGGGTACATTACTCGTTAGCATGGACATTTTCTTGTTAAAGCCAAAACAATTCTAGCTTCTCAAGCATGTTTAGAATTTCTTGACATGAAACTTTTTGTATTTCTATACTATCATTCTCATTAATTATTTACTTTCTCTTCTTATTTAATTGTAGATATGATTTCTTCTTTTGTTAAAACATACATGACTTGTTACTCTTTTGGATGATTAAGGAAGACATTAATATTCATTAGATTAGTGTAGTGAAGTTGTCGAATCTGATCACTCAAGTCTACTATGACTCTTTGATTCTCCTCATCCACTTCATTTGTAATTTGTAATTCATCAATATCGAGGGTCCTATCCTAATTTTGTAATGCTTAAAACAATTGACAATTGTCTATGATCATTTTCCATCAAAGACAATTATCTTTATTGGTTTTAAAATATGATCTTCTATCTGTTTCAAAAGTAGGCAATTAAAGTGCTGAATTGAAATCATAATATTATTAAAACATAAATTGAAATCTTAATATTGTACTACCAAAACATAAATTATAAAATAATAAATTTTTTTAACTACACCTTTATTAAGTTATAACCTCCACATAATAATAAAATTAGTTAGTTTCAACATTATGACTATAGAGAGGTTTTACTGTATATATTACTTATTTGCCGATGTTTTGGCCGGAAAAAATACCAACGAGAGCAACAAGGCTGTTGACAAGTCCTTCAGCCAGGTCTTCCAGATATATAATCTTCCCGTCTCTTAATATAAGGCAGCACCATGTGCAGGAACTTGGGATAAACGCTGCAGTAATCAAAAACTACGAAACCTTGCATCGAAATCCTCTTGAAAACAAGATACATTAGATTGCGAATGCCTTCGGGCTGCTCGAGATTTTACTGCGAGATCATTCCACACATTAGATTGCGAATGCCTTCGGGCTGCTCGAGATTTTACTGCGAGATCATTCCACATACTGAAATGCGGCCGTTCATTCTCATGTTTGGGAACACCGCATTATCCCTCTCTCTCCTCCCCTCCCCCCACCCCCCATCCCCAATCTCAAAATATATGTTGATTCCTTCAGGGAAGTACCTTTCATTTACAACAGTAAAAAAAAAAAAGTTATATTATTCAATTCTGAGCGTAGTGTGAGTTAGAGCTTTGCTCTAACGTGGGGTCTATGATCATGCATAAGCTAACACTACTAAAAAAGGGGTCTATACTTCTTTCAACATAATCGGTTAAATCTTTTGTTTAATAAAGTTGCTACCAGCCACCATTATGACACATATTCTGCATATAAGCTGTCATCTCTCGTAATTAAATCAAATATTAATTCACAAGGAAATTCACTACTGAGATATCCAATATTAATAGATGTATTAATTAAGATTTAGAGTAATTAATTACTTACACTAACCTTTTCAAGGTTGTGTACAAATCAGGTTGATCTTTCTAATTGAAAGCATCGTCAAAACCAGACCTAGTCTTCAATAGTTCAACCTATTATTAAGAAAATGNTCAAAACACTTCTTTTTACACTATTTCAAAAACCCAAGGACTCATATATGATTATATTTTCTCTTTTATTTACATATTAATTCATCGTTTTTCATGATATGGATTACATGATATCTTTGCATCTTGGTTTGATCCCCCTATTAGGTTGCTCATACTTTAATCATAAAACACAACTTTAATGATGTTCTATTTATTTCTTTCCTTGTACCAGCAAGGCTTACTACAATAAGGCTTTCTCTCTCTCTAGACACTCAATATATAATCACACAATGAGAGAGTGGTCTATATACAATAAAACCTCTATATAGGAATAAACTTTACGTAGTCATAAAAAATTATATTCTCAATTTAAGATAGTTATAAATAAAAATAAACTCCACATTGTAGTAAGTTATAATATTTTTAATTCACATCTTAAGGAAAGTTGCTTCTCCATAGTAATATATTGCAAAAATATATATGGTATATTACATTAAAAGTTTAAGATGAAATAAAATATTTATCTTAAGTTGTTTGGGATAATAATTTATGTTTTAGAGTTGTTACCACATTTTTTCATTTGCGGGTACATTACTTACTAGCATGTACATTTTCTTGTTAAAGCCAAAACAATTCTAGCTTCTCAAGCATGTTTAGAATTTCTTGACATGAAACTTTTTGTATTTTTATACTATCATCCTTATTAATTATTTACTTTCTCTTCTTATTTAATCGTAGAAATGATTTCTTCTTTTGTTAAAACATACATGACTTGTTACTCTTTTAGATGATTAAGGAAGACATTAATATTCATTTGATTAGTGTAGTGAAGTTGTCGAATCTGATCACTCAAGTCTACTATGACTCTTTGATTCTCCGCATCCACTTCATTTGTAATTTGTAATTCATCAATATCAAGGGTCCTAATTTTGTAATGTTTAAAACAATTGACAATTGTCTATGACCATTTTCCATCAAAGACAATTATCTTTATTGGTTTTAAAATATGATCTTCTATCCGTTTCAAAAGTAGGCAATTAAAGCGCTGAATTGAAATCATAATATTATTAAAACATAAATTGAAATCTTAATATTTTACTACTAAAACATAAATTATAAAATAATAAATTTTTTTAACTACACGTTTATTAAGTTATAACCTCCACATAATAATAAAATTAGTTAGTTCCAACATTATGACTATAGAGAGGTTTTACTGTATATACCATTACTTGTTTGCCGATGTTTCGGCCGGAAAAAATACCAACGAGAGCAACAAGGCTGTTGACAAGTCCTTCAGCCAGGTCTTCCAGATATATAATCTTCCCGTCTCTAATATAAGGCAGCACCATGTGCAGGAACTTGGGATAAACGCTGCAGTAATCAAAAACTACGAAA